AACGAATATTTAAATTTAGGCAAAGCTACTAAATTATATAAAGAAAGAAGCCGAAGAGCAATCAAATTATATTTAAATGCATTTACTTACATTAATAATTATTATAAAAATGATTTTCTTTTTAGATATTCTACGTTCACGATAACTATCTTAATGTTATCTTTGTTTAGCTCATTCTAGCTTTGCAATGCCGCTGAGAGTATTTGAATAAATCGGACAACATTCTTAGTTATTTTCTAAATATTCTGGTCAATAGGTTAATTCTGTGTTTCATTCAAAATGCTTTGTATGGTGATGTCCCCAATTTGTTGCTCTCAATATTGCCCCAAACTGTACAAATGATATGCTAATTTGGAAGCTTTTTAATAAAGCCACGTCGAAGAGTGCCGGAAAAAGAAGGGCATTTGCATTTTGTTTACTTTTTCATTTGTTTTCGCTTGTGCTTACGCACAGCTATTCCATTGTGGCCCTCGAATGAAATCAATCATGTAATTTATGTTAGGATAATATGCCCCCATGCGGTGTCTAACAGATAACCCCCAAATGGACTGTCAAGAAATAAATATTTAACAATAATTGATTTAAAAGTCGCATGCAAATTTTTAGCAGTCAGGCAGCAGCAAGCAACCATCCACAACCAACCCAAATGATGATGTTGCCTGCCGGCTTTTTAAGCAGCTTGCCGGGCAGGCCTCACCCAGCTCTGGATCGTGGGTAACGCGACGGCTGTGTGGCAAAGACGATGAAGATGATGACGAGTTTTCCTGCTTTTTTCAATTTCCTCGGCCGCTAAGCAAACAACGGGGCGGTCGTTCACGTCCAAGCACACTGTGTCTTTTAAGCGTGAAATTATATGAAATATCCTTTAAAAAGCTTTTGATTTCGCTTCCTGCCTGCCGGTCCTTTCAAGGTGTACCGAGAAATGCAAATGTTTTCATCTGCTTAACGTAAAAGTTGTTTTCTTATTTTTCCTACAAGGCTTCCTCCCACCACCCATCCCATCCCACCCCATCCCATAGCCTGCACTTTGCAAATCGCATTTGCATGCCTTTGTCTGAAGTTGACCTCGTCGTTGGCGTTGCCTTTCTGAGACGAGCAGGAGCGTCAGGTGTGTTGTGAGCGCAGGATACTAATGCCATCTGCTAACGGTTTTAATGGCATAGATAAGTTCGCCACCCTGCATAATGGAGTTGGTCGTGCAAAAGGCTTAGCAGACGCATCTGGACTTCCTTGTCAGCTGCATTCATTCACCTGCTCTGGACTTGAAAAGTTAATAACATCTCTGGGGCCGCATCAGACCTTTTGCAGGAGCTCAAGCCTTAGAAAAAGTAGTACAGACCAAATAGGAGAGATGGAGAGCGACTTGGAAAGAAAAAACAAAAAAAAAAAAGAAAAACCAGAGTTGTTGGACCATGCTACTCGTAAAAAGGCACAAATTAGCATTACTTCCGACTGATCACAATCTGCGCATACTAATTGTTCGTTGCTCGTGGCTTTCATTCATGGCAATCATTGAGAAGCTGCCTCAGAGGTCTGCGGCTGCGGCTGCGTCTGCGCGTTGACCAAACTTGGCAGGCTGAATGATTCTGCTGTGATTTTTTTCAGACTGTCTAGACAAACGTCGCTAACTCGCCGCCTTTTCTGCCTGTCATATAAGGCAATATCGACGACGACGCACTCTGGCTTGGCTTGGCTTGACTTGGCTCTGTCTTTTAGTCGCAGAGACTGGCAATTCACGGGAAAAGCGAGCGAACCCTTCTTACGAAACAACAGAAACACCAATCATCCACATCATTGTCAACGCCATTGTCGTCGTCCTCATCATCATCATCGTCGTCATCGTCATTCTCATCGTCATCCTCATCGTCGTCGTCGTCTTTGTCGTCAGTCCATAAACGTGCAGGTTTGCCTTTTAAGGCTTCTCGCTTTGGTCTGTCATAACTGCGTACAGTAGGCGTACCGAGCCAAGTTGGAGCGCCACGCCAGTTCGTGCTGGTGCTCTATGCGTCCGGCATATGCTCCACGGCATTTTGCGTGTCTGGGCGTCCATCCAGCGTCATTGCAAGCAAATCGCCCAAAAAGGTGAAGACGCCGCAGCTTCATGACGCGCGCTGGGAATATGATGCCAAGCCATCGTCCACAATCACAGCCACATCGACATTGTCATCATATATAGTCGTGTGTACTTTCGCTGGAGTCATTGGAGTCGCTACCATGACTCAGGCCAGCCAGGCAACCAGCCAGCCAGCTTGCCAGCTGTACGTGCAGAGCTCGATCTCTGAATTCGCAATGCTCTCAAGTGTCAAGCGTCAATTGCGATTGAAGTTTATTGCTTTGGCAGCAATTAAATCAATTTTGGTTTGAGGTTTGGCTTTTGGGTAACTAACGCATTTGATTAGTTGTCAGGAGAATTGAATTGAATTATCAAATTAGAAGTGCTGCCATGATTTTGATATAATTGGAGTCTTGAGAGCTGAACTGACAGCTCAAATATGGTTCAAATATTGTTTCCCACATAAGCGGGAACTAAATTGAAGCACAAGTGAGCGGATTTTTGACAAAAATGCTCATTCAAGCTTTGAGTATTTGAAAATTTAGAAAGATCTTTTGCCAAAAGTCCCTCTTAAGTTTAGGTCAGACAGATAAATAACTGGTACACTAAATCGTACTTTAGAGGTTTATTTTAGTGAAAGAATTTCTTTTGTTGTAGGTTTAATGATTCACCTGCGTCTACAATTCGATAAATCTCTATGCGAAATCTTCTAAATCTACATCTAAATTTTCCATAGACTTATAGTCAGATAGGCAAAAAATGTACACAACCAAATTAATGGTTGGTCTGACCATAATGCGAGTTTTGATCAACTTAAAGATCTTCTAAGTACAGCTTTGAGCTGATTTTTTAGGACGAGATGAATAGACAAGATAGGTGTGAGATTGGTGGGGTACTTCCAGCCCTCAGACATCGTTGCACATATCCAGCAGATAACTGAGCTGTGTAGAGGGAGAGTAGAGCTAAGAATGAAAAGATGAGCGCGTGAACGCTAATAATACAAATGGTTCCTCCCCTTAAAGTCGCCTTTAAGCTTATTGTGAAAGCTGTAGAGGGGAACAGAATGTTTCACTGTAATTGTCTAGAAATTTTCAAGTTAAGTCTCAAATTATTTACAGATTGGGACCACTTTTGGATCATCAAACACGGCTTTAAAGAATTTAAAGGGTTTAGTAAAAAAAAAAATTAAAGTAATACACCTAATTCTGTTTTTACACGGTCATTTTTATCGGTTTTGATTTAACACGTTTTGAAAATTAAATATTTTTTATTCCATTTAGTACGATTCAAAAAAAAAAAAACATGATCAATGTATTTTTTACACGTTTTTTTTTTACATGACTTTTTCTGAAACCAATGTACCGTGTAAAAACAGAATGAGGTGTACTACGGAAGGCACTAATATAATAATGTATCCTTATTAGTCAGTGAATTACTTTCTAAGGCCAATTTTAGCAGCATCATAAAATATACACAATAAACTAAAAGATCCCTTACCACGAAAATGGTTATTTTTGAAATATAAGTTTTCAAGAATATATTCAAGAGGTTTCAGATTTCTTAAAGCTCTGAAGAGCCAACTTTGTCCACCGAAAAAGGATCTATTACTTTAATTAGACATAATGCGCATTTGCGTGTATTTCTCTCGTGTGATTTGTTTCAATTCGTTTGAAGGGGTTTTAGCTGTCAAAGCCAAAAGGATGGTCCAAACGGTTGTGGAAGCCAACCCAGCACCTTCTAGTGCTCTGTACAGACATCTTACATAACTCAAAGGGAAAAATTCATCACCGCAATATGCGCAACAAAAAGAAAGTGGCAGCAAGAAAATTGTCATAAAGGTGCAACTGACAACAGCAACACAAACTAGCAATAGCAGAAACGCAAGTAAATTTCAATTTATATGCAGAATGAGCAGTGAGCCAAAGAGGCGACCACTGACACATACACACACACACAGCTACACACACACAAAGGCACACACACCAGCCACACACATATGTGTGCATGCAGGAGTGGAAAGGAAGGGAGTCGCGTACATCGTATGCGCAAAAAGTGTCAACGGTATATTTTACTCGAAATTTCCAAGATTTTTTCCGAGTTTCCTTCTTCTATTTTGTTTTTATGTTTTTTTTTTTTTGGTTTTTTGTGGCTGCTCTCTGCACTGCGTCGCAAGATGGAAACGCAATTTCATTAGACAAATTGAAAAAAATAAGTGCAAGCGCACATAAAAGCATCTACTTGTACGAGCTGAGGCTGTCTATATGTTCACCGTTATGTGGTACGGCTATACATACTCGTATATGTATATAAAAATTCGTATATTCTAGGTGGCAGACAGGCGCCATGTTGTAGATGTTGTTGAAGAATTTCGTTGGCTGGCAGCTCGATTTGCGATTCGTTGCGTTTATTTTTATTTGCTGGATGCGCATACGAGTAGGAGCCATCCACACATTCACACACACACACATCTGCCACACACATATACACATTCCTACACATAAGCATACATAAGCTTTCGCCAACACAGCCACGACAATCGCAGGATGCTGCGCGCGTTGAAAAGAGGCGGAGACTTTGGACTTCGACAACGGCGCCTTTCACACTTGGAAAAAGGCAAAAAGAAAAAAAAAATAAAACGAAAGCCAAGCAAAGCAACAAACATAAACAACTGAGCAAAAAAATGTAGCAGCAGCGGCGCAGAACCGTTAGGACTGCTCCTGTTCCTGTTCCTGCTGCTGCTGTTGCTGCTGCTCCTCTACTTCTTCTTCTTCTTATCAGCGCAACTCGGCAAATTTCGTTTCGGTTTTCCATTTTGCGTCTCGCACGCGCGCTGATTGGAAGCTTCGGCATTTCGCTCGTTTTTGGGGCGGAGCAAAAGCTTAACAAGCAGTGGCGGCCACACTGCTTTGTCAACGGGGGTTCTCTGTTGGGGCATGGCCTGCACAACTGCTTGTCAAGGGGGATTTTTATTTCGAAAGAAATTTGCGTTTGTCTACCTTCACAAAATATCAATTTCACGTGCGGCCATTATCATGCCAACAAATCCATCCGTCACTTCACGAGCCACGGGTATTATATCTTCCGGTGGCAGTACAAAACCGTATTCTCCCTTATCACGTAACTCTATGGTGTAGGGTATGGGTATGTTCTTCACGCCATAGGCCCACTCCTTGCCCGAACCGGAAACCTTGTCTGATATATGATATGTGAAATGCATATAAATACTTATTGATTCGAATAAAAGGGGTCTTGAGCACTTACATAGGGTGGTGGCACTGGAACCATAGGTAAATTCCGTTTGATAGCGTCTGTAGAGGGCGTTGGCAAAGCCTTCGGCTACGTGCATCATTTGTGGATAGTGGTCGGGAAATTCGTCATCTACATGACCCCATGGAGAGAGCACGTACTGACCATAGGAGTGCAGTGATATATAGATCTTAATAGTATCCTCGGGTATGGAATTGTTTATGTATGTGGTCAACTGATGAATCTCTACGTCGGATTCGGCAGAGGGTCCAGCATAAATCTCCGAGCAGGGATCAGATTCAGCTCCCACCACTGAAATTATAAAGATAAAGATTGTAAAAAAAAGAATTACTATAATCTGAGAGCGAGGCAAATCTGAGGTTTGACTTAAGAGAAGAAAAATATGAAAATCTACAAAATTGAGAATAAAGTTCTTAAAAAAAAGGTAAAGCTTATATGAGAGCGAGAAATGGAGCGGAACTGATACTAGAAATGAGATATTGAGAACGTAGAACGAAAAAGAGAAAACTCACACATCCAAAGAAAATCAAAGTTACGATTTAAATCCGTGCCAATACAGTTGCCAGTCGGATCGGAGGGCAGACGCGACTTGCGCCAGAGTCGTTCCTACAGGTAATAGGGAAAGCAATAAAGATAAGTTCCCATAAATTTATTATTATGGAAGTAATAATATGGCCGTACGATAAGCGTCTATAAACGGCGGCATAATTGCAATTGATTAGATCGATTATTTGTAGCTCTTACCACTTCGTGTGAGTAAACGAAACCGTCCACATTCAGAACTGGTATTATATACCAATCGACATTTAGTGCTATGTCACGCACCCCCGGATTACGAGGCACCAGTAGCTCGTCAATGAAGTAGGTGATGGTAGCCGAGGTAATCCACTCGCGCGCATGTATGTTGGACTCAATGAAGACAGCCTTGTTGCCCGGCTTGTAGGAGATTTTGATGCCACGTATAGGTCGTCCCTCGTACGAGTTGCCAATGATGAAAGGTGTCACAATGTTGGGGTAACGCGCCTCGATCACATCCAGCCAGGCATAGATCTCATCCAGCGTATGGAACTGCGTCCACTCCATATAACCAGTACGTTGCTTTGGCCTCTGGCCATCGATCAGCGTCTGGACGTTCTCGATTTTGGTCGCATAAGTAATGTTGTGGCCCACTAGTAGCTGCTCGAAGGCTAATTGTGTCTCGGGTGGCAGCATAACGTCTGCTTCTTCGCCCAACTTTCTTATTTCGCGCCAAGTGCTTAGCTGCAAGGTTCCACACTTCTTTTATGGGGGAACCACTTGACAAGTTGAAACAAGAACTCACCTGCAACTGGCGCTCATTGGTGTTGAGTAGCTCGAACTCTTCCAGCCGATCTATGCGCACCTTATAGACCTTGTAGTGGTCGTAACGCACCTCTGCGAGCGTACACCCTAAGCAGCCCAGTAGCAGCAAATATTTGAGAACCATTCCCATGTCGTACCTTTCAATTGGCAGTCAACTTATGGACTGAGAATTGTCGTGCTAGTTTTGAGGCGATAAGCTCGGGCAAGGTTTTTTATCACCTAATTGCCTAGCTATGGTAGCTGCCAGTAGCTACCAATACCAATGGGTCGTTATCAGCGCCCCGTGACGTCACGAGCGGTGGAACAGGCGAGTGGAGATGCAAGTGTTGCGGCTAAGTTGAAGCTGCAACTTCAACTTCAACTTGTCTGGGCAAGCCCCCAGTACTTAGGCTGTCTCTCAACTTTGCACATAAATTTCGTGCAACGGCAGCCCATTTCATTGTAGGTCATTGCATAATGAAGTTGCCGCCCTGAGGCACATAAATTTTCGCCAGTTGAGATTTCTGTTTGACTTGCGGTTTGCTGCAAAACTTCACTGGTTGGCTCAAGCGCGGGTCTTAGTGCGAAATGTTGTTTAGGTTGTCTTCCATTTTTTTTTATTATTTTTTGTTTTCTTACACGCCACGTTGTCCTGCCATTGTGTCCTGCGGCGAGTGCTTAAGGGACTTTAGTTGGCTATATTTTTGCGTGGGTATTAGAGGCGGCCCATTGTCGCTGCATGAGGTGCGTTCCAACATGTGTCCTCATGCTTCTTAAGTCCTTGCCAGTGTGTCCAGGTGGGGAGGGGTAGAGCAAGGTAGGCACAGTAAATGATTTTTGGTTGGGAGGGATAGAGTGCATAGAAGGCGTACTAAAAGATGGCTAAAAACGCTAAGTGTGAGTCAGTGGGGTGCTTATAATGTTGCGAAGGTATGTACTTACATACATATAAAGAAGACAGACCTCATATTAACATTCGCACAGAAATTAGATGAAGGCTTTCCAAAACAATGATGTAGGAAACATATTATTTTTTCTATACTAAATCAGACTTTAATTCCCAATGAAAACTTTCCGAAACTAAAAAAAATAAATAGGAAACATACAAGTATAATGTTATCTATAATAAATCAGACTTTTTTTTTTTTTGATTTAAGTTACTTTGCACCGTTTAGTGCAAAGAATTATTTGGCCGTCCACGTTAGTTACGAGAAAAACGCCATCACCAATTGTGTTTTTAGAGCGATGTTAACATTTAAACATTAGCCTTAATTGTGTTTAGAAATTGTGTGATTGATTTGTATGAGCTTGTATTTTCGTTAGCAAAGAAGTTATAAATGCTGTTATACTTTAGCAGTGTTTAGAATTGCTGTCTGGTAAATCAGACTTTAATTCCCAATGAAAACGACTTTTTTTGTGTTACAAAACGATGAACAGTTTTCGATTATAGAGCGCCTTATATAATATTCAAAATTGATGATCAAAAAATGGAGATTTAAATAAACACTAGAGGATGATAGAGGAAGCCTCCTCCCAGTCTAATTCCCAGTAATTTCTCGAAAACAGTTGCAAAACAACATTTTCGGTCTAGAATTTTGGACGAAAATATAGGAAATTTTTATTTTTTTATTATTTTTATTTTTAAAAATTAAATATTGTACTAATATTAATATTAGTTTACCGAGCACTAGCTCCTAGGGCCTTCGACTCGATATAGGAAATTACTTTATCATTTCTTTACAGCCCAAGCATTTATACTACGTATTAACCTAAGAGGGTATTATCTAGAGCATTCAAAAATATATTTAATATATATAACACTTTCGGTCCCAATTCCTCAAACCTTTGATTGCCCATTTCGTTTCAATAATTATGTTTTATGTTATAATGGTTTAGTTAATGTCTAATGTTTTAGTTACATGTTTATTTCGTAAAGTGTTGTTTTCTAATTTAGAAACTGTGGAGTTCCGAAAAAATCGGCACACCAAATAATCGGCACAAAAGTCTTCCCAGGTCCCTCTGCCCATCTATCCCAATCAGCCGCCTAAAGAGATCTTACTAACTAACCCCAATAGTGAAATGTTTTCACTATAAATGTAAAAATGTATAGAATGTAATGTTAAACTGTAAAACTTATGTCTCGTTTATGTATGTAAAATGTTATGTCATGGCCTAATTTGCAGGTCCATTCATAATAATATGATATAATATTTTAAAAAAAAGAAACGATTGAAAACTTACATATACAAGTAATATCACTAATAAATCACGCACTCTACCTTCGCTCTTTCATTGCTTTGAAATTTGTGTTTTTATAAAATGTATCGAAATATTTCTGTCAAAATATGAAATTATTTTATTAAGATCAGACGCTTGAGCTCTCAACTTCTTAGTGGCGAAGCCATGAGGCGTTGGACAATCTACTTGATTCTGCTTGGTGCCTGCTGGATTATATTGCTACGTCCTAGTCTGCATCTGTATCGGGAGTCTGGGCATTATAAACTAGGTGTAGCTATTAACAATGTTTTTGCAACCTTTGGAGAAGCCAATATATATACCCTGCCCGCCGCTTTGATCTTTAAATTAAGAAGCAGACACTTGGTTGTGGGTGAGGCCGGGCACATCCATAGTCTCAATTGGGTATTCATGCTGCCCTATCTGCTGCACTGCATCCATAGCTATGTGAGTAGCGTGCAGCACGTGTTCAGCCTGATTGCAGACCAGTCTGTGGTGGCAGCCGAGAACTATGGACCCATTTATATGAAGATTATTATGATGTTCGGCATGCAGCTGCTCTCGGCACTAGAGATCGCCTATGTCCTCTTCTATGGTGTTCCGCAGCAGGAGGAACAAGTCGTTGAGTGAGCGACTGAGCAGCTTTGCAGTCCAGACCCGATTTCTCTTCAATAATTTGTGTACTTGTTACAACAATTAAAACCGGCTTATTTGATTAGGCCGCTAATTGCCAAGCGAGCGTGGGCGTCGCTAACGCCTTGCTGGCGGTTACAATAAATTTTTGCACATTAATTTCTTATCAGCGGAGCCGTGCGGAAGCGGCGTAATAAACCAGCCGCAGGATTAAAGCGTCGCTAGATTACAGCGAGTACAACTTGTGCGCAGGCATAAGGACGAAACTTCTACAAACTTTCAACACCTTTGAGCAACAGCAAAAGCCGCAAGTAGCAGGCAGCAGCGCGAAGGCGCGGAGGCGCTGGTGTGGAAATTCGTAAAACTTTGCCAAAGAAAAACGCGGGTGCGCGTGCGATAAGCCGGGAAAGCATTTTTAATTGGCCAGAGCCGAGGACTTTCAAGGTTTGGGTTTGGGTGCTCAGTGCCAAGTGCCAAGCAATACGAGAGTTTTCCTTGTTGTGAGCTTAGCGTGCTTTAAATTGTCATAAATTTTCCAGCACCACCAACACTTTCAGAGTGGTATTACAGTACATTACTTTTTTATAGTCGTTTAAAAAAAAACTGTAAAAAAAACAAGAAATACGGGGAGAACTATAGCATAAATTTGCTCGGCAACGTGGCGTATGCGCAACATTTGTGGCTTGCATGAGCGCGGCAAATGTCAATGCCGGAAAGTGTTTAGCATTTTCTTAGCTTGTCAGCAACCAGAGCAAGAAGTGGACTTAATTAGCCTCAAAATGTCTTGAGCGCCACAAAATTGGCAACTTTACATGGCACGAGTACAAGCCAGCGACAAAATGTGGTTGTCGTTGGAAGGAAGGAAGGAAGTTGCATGTTTGCCTCAAGTTCAATTTGCTTGTTCGAATGTGCTGGCCAACATATTGGGGTCAGCTTGACTTGGGGAAACTCAAAAGAGCACAATAAGGTGCTGTCAAACCACAGAAGGGATTCGAATTCTCGACAGCTTTATGAAAAGTGGACTTCAACATTTTGTCTGATTCTTTAAATTAAGATAAAACCTCTACAATATTCCCTGTACCCAATGGGTAATGGTATCGACACATTCAGATTCTTTAAATTAAGATAAATACTCTACACTAATCTCACATTTTTAAAATTTAAAATTTTTTAGGTTGTTTGAAGCTCATTTATTTGTATACCCTTTACTCAAAGGGTAAGAAGTTATTCTCCTTTAATAATATATTTATTCGCAAATTCACCTTTTAATGTTAGTTAGTTATTTTTAATGAATTCAAAATCAAAATTTATTAAGCATTTTAACAACTTATTTGAAATGAAGAAGTGGTTAATATATTTAAAACGTTTTTCAGTTAGTTTTGACACTGAGTTGAAAATATATGCAGTTAGTTTTTGTTGAAATCAAACAATGTTGCGTTAAACGAAAAATAATTTTGAGTTACTTATTGCAGGCCACTGAAATTTCAATAAAATTAATTGCATTTGCTTATTGTAAATCAAATATTAAATTCAAAATGTTTAAAAATTTATCCAATCAGCTTGTTGTCAAATAGAATCATAAATTATATTGCCGTATTTATCTTTTCTTTTCGAAGACTTTCATTAATTTCCCATTAATTAGTTTGGGGCTAGCTTATCAATCAGTAGTTTATTTATTAAGCTTACCAATCGAATAGTCATAATTCTGAAATGAACAGATTCCATAGGAGTAGTAAAAAGGACAGAAATACTTTCGCTAATAGGTTTTCTTTAAATTGATTTTTGATTTTGATAATTTATAAAGAGAGGTAGAGAATTATACCAAAATTTGCTATTTAGTTCGGTTTCTGAATATAGTTTTGAAATTGTGAGGTATTAAGGAATTCCTATTAAAAGTGAATTAAAAGATTTAACACACCAAGATTTTTACATTTAATTCAGTAGCGCGGAAATGGATTGGGAGCTTCTACAAGTTTTTTATATTTAAGAATACATATAAATATGTATTTTAATGGGTCGGAGATGCTTCCTTTTGCCTGCTACAAAATTTTCTTTAAAGTATACCCTTTATTTTTCGGGAACAGGGTTTAAAAATGCATCCTCTGCTACTATAAGGTATAAAGACTAAAATAAAAAAACCAGATAATATCAATGACTCCAAATAGTAGCGTTGAATCTGGAAAATATCAATCGCTTGTAACTTAGAAATTGAACAAATCTGACTTAAGAGCCATTTAAATAATAATGACTAGAACATTTATTTATAAGATAATTTCTTGTCGTACTAAAAACTAATAAAAAAAGAATAAAAAAAATAATAATAATAATCTTGAAGCAGTTTTCGCGAGTTTTAAGACACATGTTTGTCCGCCTAATACCTACATAATGGAAGAGTTGGGAACACTAGGAAGAATCTTCTATGACTGAGGTCTTTTGTTATTTTAAAGTTAAAATAAGTTATGGGTAAAACCTTTTAAGACACGGTAACATAATTGTGGAGTCTCGCATGAGCTTTCTAATAAATAGAAATGAATGGGGACTTTCCATCTGCAGTGGCAGCCATTTGTTGCAGCCATTCTTATTGTTCTTGTGGTTGTTATTTTTAGAGCTGCTCGCTGTCTGCTTGCTGCGTGCCACGAGGTAATTCGTTAGAAATGAATTGTTGTTATTATCATGATAATTACAGGTTGCTTTTGTTGCTTGCCGCAGCGTTAATTAAGCCAAAGTTATATCTACATGTCTGCCAATCAACGAAACTATGCGGTGGCAGAAATGCTCATGCGCTGCCTGCGTCCAGCACCGCCCCTGTCTACGCCCCTCTTTGCAATTATGCATTACTGGTTGAACGGGGTGGACTGCCATCGGTAAGTAATGGTAGGCCCTATCCCACACCTAGTCAAATGGTCTGTTCAGGGCCCTTATGCGTCCCACTCTAATTGCAAAAAAATATGCACGCTCTTCTCCCCCCAGCCCCCCTTCATTCCGCTTCACTCTCGACAAGTGCCACTTGGCTTTCATTTGATGTGGGCGTGGCACTTGCCATGTGTCATTGTTTACCTCTCGATGCTGATGCTGATGTTGATGAAGACAACGACAACGTGTTCAATAAGCGATTATTTTTTCAGTTGAAAATTCTTCGGCTGTTGCCGCTGTTGTTGTTTTTGCAGCTCTTGCTGCTGTTTGTTTTTTAAACGTCGCTGCTGGCAGCTATTATTTGTTAAATGAAGCGATTTGTTTGTTGTCATTATGCGTCGAAGCGTTAAAACATTTTCGCTTTATTTTTTCTGCGCCAAAAATTGTTTTCACTGTTTTGTGTACACACATATATACAAGTATGTACTATATGTATGTACTCGTATGTATGGCGGCTATAACTTAACGAGTGGTGGATTTTTGGCACTCACGCCACACACCACAGAGGCACACCTTTGCCACTTGGTATTTAACAATGCTGAGGCAGGAACTGGGCCGGGGAGGGAGCGGGGATGGTTGCGTCTAACCTGCGATGTGCGTGTGTGAATTCTAAACAAAGTGCGGCAGCTGTTGAACTAACTGAGGCAGATAACTTGAAGCCTGCATTTTAGATTCGAAAATATTTCAGCTGAAAGGAACATAAGTAGTGAGTTGATCCCAAGATTCAAGAAAGTCATGGGGACTTAGAACGAATGAAAGTATATCTCGGCTTTAAGGCATGTTCTACTTTCAAACAAATTTGACCGCAAGCTCGAAAATCATATCAATATCAACTTGATATTCATTACTTGAAGTAACAGTACCAATCAAACAAATGAAAACAAACCATAATGTTAAGAGATAACTTTGAATTCAAAGGAATTAAGAACATTAAAGAAAATTAAAGCTTTTATTTTAAACCCTTCTTCCCAACACGAATAGATAGTTCCAAAAGTATGAAAATATATTAAAAATCGAAATGAAAATGTATTAATATCAACTACATAATAATATTGGCCAAAGATTGAAAATAATTTATATGAAACATCTATCTGTCTATCTATCTATTTATCTATCTACATAACTATTTATCATAATATACATATGAGAGACGTTTATCAGTGGTTGGTTTTATTTAAACAAATTTTTTGTTGCGGTTTTTTTTTTGCTCCAAAATTAAATATTTAAATTATTTAGACATCTGCAACTCAAATTCAGCTATTTATTTGGTCCTTAAATTAACGACCTAACCAGCGTGAAATTAGTTTGCTCAGCAAAACGTGCTCTAAATTTGGATTTTCTTATTAAAATTAAAATGTTCCACTAACGCCACTATTTAATCAGATCGTATTCGCTTTTATGCGGCCTTCTGCGACCATCAAACACACTGTATGGTAATTTTTTCATGTCTTATCTGTCGAGGTGTAAGTGATCCTTCCAAATAATTATATGTTGCATAATACAAATTTAAAAAAATCGCATAAGCAATATATGTAGCTAGAATTTGAATCTGCTGACAGTGTTCACCTGCATTATTGAACCTTGTTCTCATGCCCTTATGACTTGCATTCCTAAGCTTCCAAGAAACTATCAGACTTGCACGCAAAGCTCATCTTCTATCACTACAGGGGTGCGTTGCTCCATTGTGTCATTGCCTAATCCGCTTTTAAAGTTGTCGTTGCGAAACGAAAGAATTTGAAAAAAAAAGAACAACTAAAATACTGAAAAACCGGAAATCACAAGTCAAGTTGATGAACTGTCTCTTGTCGTCGTCTGCATAGAAACTGAAATCGGGCAGACACACAAAGACATGGCACCTGCAAAAACTTTGCAGACACATTTGCTGGCCCATCCCATCCCCACGCCCCCTCAGCCCGCCCCAGACCCTTTACTGTTAGAGATTTACGCATTTATTTTGCATTTTTTATTTGCCTCACAAACATGCGCGCAGATTTAACCAACAAAACGAGAAAAAAACATATAGAAAAGAGGTACAATTTATACAAAAGGCAGGCAAGCGAAGGCGACGGACTGGTTAGAAATTT